CACGTCGGGGCCCCCCCAGCCCAGCACAGCGACCAGCAAGGTCCCCCCTACGTCACACCCCCGCTGGGCCGTGCTGCAGACACCAGCCAGTGGGGGTCACCCACTGCCCAGCACAGCAACCAGCAAGATACCAACACTTCATCACACCATCTCCAGACAGAGGCTAGGGACACCATTCCTACCCATCCTGGCTAATAGCCATTGATGGATCTAACCTCCATGAATCTATCTAGCTCTTTTTTGAACCGTGTTAAAGTCCTAGTCTTCACCACATCCTCTGGCAAGGAGTTCCACAAGTTGACTGTGCGCTGAGTAAAGAAAAACTTCTTGTGATTTGTTTTAAACCGGCTGCCTTTTAATTTAATTGGGTGACCCCTAGTTCTTATATCATGGGAATAAGTAAATAACTTTTCCTTATTCACTTTTTCCATAGCACTCATGATTTTATAGACCTCTGCCATATCCCCCTTAGTCTCCTCTTTTCTAAGATGAAAAGTCCAACTCTTTTTAATCTCTCTTCATATGGGACCTGTTCCAAACCCCTAATCATTTTAGTTGCCCTTTTCTGAACCTTTTCCAATGCCAACATATCTTTTTTGAGATGAGGTGACCACATCTGTATGTGGTATTCAAGATGTGGGCGTATCATCATTTTATATAGAGGCAATAAGATGTTCTTTGTCTCATTCTCTATCCGTTTTTTAATGATTCCCAACATTCTGTTTGCTTTTTTGACTGCCACTGCACACGGAGTAGACGTTTTCGGAGAACGATCCACAATGATTCCAAGATCTCTCTCTTGAGTAGTTGTAGCCAAATTAATCCCCATCCTAGTGCACTCTGCTCCCAAACTCCAGGTCACAATAATGCTCAGGTTTTTCCCACTAGAATCTCTGTAATTTTTTTTAATAAAAAATTTAGTTTGTATTAGCTGGTCACATTCACAAGACTTAAATTTATAGCGTAGGTCTCTAGCATGGGCATCACAAATTTATTCTAAAGATTACTTTCATGTTTTTGAAACTTTCGAGTAGCTATCTAATTTGTAGTCCTCTTCATGCTTCCACTGCAGCACAGTGTGGATTCTCAGTGCTCTAGACTTGCTATGGGAAGGAAGGAAGGGAAGGAGGAAGGAAGGAAAATAAGGAGGGAAGGTGGTTTTAATAGATTTTAAGAGATTTATTTGGCTTTATTTCACTGTTATTCTTGCTGAACTTAAGCCAGGAAGGAAAGATCAGGTCCTTTAACACTGAAATACTTAAGAATTCTGACATTTATGTTTGTCATGCTGTCCAACAAGCATACATGCGTTATGCCCTCCTGCTATTCCAGTCACCTGAACACACTTTTCTTAGAAAACTGCTGCCAAAACATGAGCATTTTTCAGATTTGACCTGTGTTCCAAATGTCAGTTCCAATCAGTAGTTTTGCTAATGTCCCAAAGGGCAGTGTTCGACGTGCAGGGGAGGGAATTCTGAGTATCTGCGATTAGGGAAGTGACTCAGCATAAAATTGTTCCTGGTATTGGTATTGTTTGCACTGAATTAAAATATTTTCAGGAAGTCTGATGGAAAAGAAAAGTTGATTCTTAAAAAATGGAGCTCTAAGAACTTTGTTTTTATTTAAGTGGAGAATGGAAACAGGAGCTTTTGAAATGTTTTGCGGGGAAAGAGAGAGAGAGAGAGAGAGACAGACAGACAGACAGACCACAGAATAGCTGATAGCCCAATGGTAGGTGAATGCCCCCACAAAACAGGAATGCTGGTACAAATATCTGTTCCAATTCAGTGTCTTTCTTTGTCTGGCCAATGAATATTTAATTATTTATACAAAATTGAGCAGTTCCAACACAATGGGGAACACGAGAGACTGGCTCTATAGTGAGAGAGACAGACAGACAGACAGACCACAGAATAGCTGATAGCCCAATGGTAGGTGAATGCCCCCACAAAACAGGAATGCTGGTACAAATATCTGTTCCAATTCAGTGTCTTTCTTTGTCTGGCCAATGAATATTTAATTATTTATACAAAATTGAGCAGTTCCAACACAATGGGGAACACGAGAGACTGGCTCTATAGTCACGGCTGGCGCTGGGGGGGGGGGGGGAGGGGGACAAGGGCAA